GGGGGGGGGGGTGATAAGCGAAGTGAGAGGGGGCGCACTTTTTGTTTTAATAAAACGATTAGTCTATTTTAAGTTTAATACATACATTTATATATTAATATACACACATATAAGAAATAAATATGCATATACACATAAAACTTTAGCCGTTTCTGAAAGCAAAAAATTCCCCCCCCCCTCGCCTATGAGGGGAGGAGTAGGCAAATAATTGTGTAAAAAGTGCGTTTTTAAATGATGTAAAAGGACATATTTTATTTATTTATTATTATTTTTTTTTGATAAACAATTCTGTTTGTAGCGTATTTTCAAATCAATAACAAAAGTTTCGAATTTTAATATTTAAACTTCCGCTATAGAATGAAAATAAGACAATTAATATAATCTTTAACTAACAAATTATTTTTCTAAAATAGTTTGTAATTTGTGCTAAATTAGCAAGCTAATTTTAAAAAAACTTGCAAAAATTGTTTGCACTTACTATAACGTTCTTTCGAGCAGTCCTTTCGCGAAAGAGTCCGTATAGTAGCTTTTCCTGCGTGCATTTTTTTTTTTTTTTGAGTTGCATTGCGGGGAAGATGCTGGAATATTTTCGTTTCTTCGTTCGCACTTGTTATCAGGTTTGACATTTAGGCAGTTTATTAATATTGACAAGTTATCTGAATTTGTATAATAAACATTAATTGTTTTACTTCAATTCTAACTTTTGACCCGCCTAAGGAGTCACTTTGCTTATAATTGAAATTACATTACAAATATTGGCTACAAATGGATTAATAGGCTATGTAAATGACATGAATGTTATGCATAAATCCTTTTTCATCGATAGAGTAAAAAAGTAAAAGTAAATGCAGTTCACAATTTGTTTCATTTATTTGTAAATTGCACAATATTTTATAAGAGGAAGTAAATAACAATGAAAATAATTTGCAATAAAATAATTTTTTAATTAAAATCTTTTTTAAAATTATGATAATTACGCAGTCTATATCATGCATTATAAATTTTAAAGATTATTCGTATATTGGAGTAGTTTGAAGTAAGCATTGCAAGTATTTTTATGATGATTTCTTTTTAATATTTGTTAGAAGAATTTAATGTTTTTACAGTTTATCTACTTTTAATATATGGGTTCTCTATTTACATTTTTCTACTTAACCCATTTAATGTCTAGAGTCCTTTTATTGGGACGTTCTTTTCCAAAAAAGGAAGGAAAAAAATTGATAGCAGAAGTGTTTCACTTTTCTAAATGTTTTTTTCCTTAAAGAAGATAGTTTTGTTTCTAATATTAATTTACTCACATAATATAGGGATCTGATTTCAAAACAAAGTGTTGCTTCAATGTTAAAGGGGAAGGTAGATAAAATTTTTACTTGGCATAAACGTATCTGTATTACCGCTTTTTAATAAAGGAAATTCCTACATGACTGCAACACTCGTGATTGGACCTAAACGTATAACCATAAAATTTACCTTTTTAACATGAATATACTGGTTTTAATTTTATAATGAAAAACTATTATAAAAAGAACTGTGTTTTGTTTTAAAAAGTTCAAGACTAAGCAAGATAAATTAATTTTGGATCCTTTGAAAGAGTGAGTCTTGCGTAAATCAAATCCAAATTGCGATACATTTTCCATTTTTAAGTAAGCTTCAAATGGCATTTTGATATTTTTTTAAGGAAAAATGTAAGAATAATTTTTATTAAATAATTATAAAATAAATAATTATTGAATTAAATAATTCTCCAAAATTAATTAATTAATTATTTTATTAATTCATTGGTAATAACAATAAATGAGCATAGCAATTTTGTTTTTCAAAATTGAGAATTATATTCATTGTTTTATGCAAAGAAAGAATGTCTGATCGCAGTTTTTCGTTTGGCACTTTGTTTGGTTTTGGTCTAGCGTAAATCAAATCCATACGATACGTTTTCCATTTTGATACGTCTGCGATACGTTTTCCATTTTGAAGTAAATTTCAAATCGCATTTTGATATTTAAAAAAAATGCACTAAAAATTTCGTTTGAAAATTCATTAATTACTTTATTAATTTATTGGTAATAACAATAAATAAACATAGCATTGTTTTTCGTAATTTAGAATTATATTCAATGTTTTAAGCAAAGAAAGAGCAGTTTTTCGTTTGGTACTCAAGAAATATCTGTAGGATGTATGATTAAGTGTATTCCAAAAGTAGTGAACAATGAAAATTTTTTTCTTCGTGGGTTAAATAAAATTGAAATATTAGTTCTAATCAGAGATGGCAAGAAATATCAAATATTAAAACAAATTTTTTTTAAACAGTTTATCGTTGCCATCAAATTGAAATAGTAGTATTAATTTCCTAGGTAATTTAAACAGAATTTTTAAATAGGTGTACACTAAGAGCAATAGTTGGATTAAAAAAAGTTTAATGCTTTTTTAAAAAGAAAGAAAACAATTGAAGTTTTTTTTTAATGTTTTGCGAAAAAGGTATAAGGGAGTCAAAATTTATAATTCTATATAGAAGAGTTGTTAAAATAACATGATCAAATTTTTTTATAGATGCAATTAAATTAACGAATAACATACAAATTTTCATAGTAAAATATGAATGCTGAAACTATTTCCTAGGTAAAATTAAACATAGATTTTAAAATTATAAACAAAATTTAAATGAATAATAAAAAGTACCATTTTTTAAAAAGTCGATGTGAAAAACTATAAAAAGTAAATGTTCTTTAGTACTATATTAAATTTCGTTTGCTTAAATTTAAATTACTCAAAGACACACGTCGCAGTCGCATCGGGAGATGATTGGTTATGTTTCTTATGAATTCAAATATTTCATAAACTATGTGACCCGTTTTTAAAATATTTCGTACGTTTTGTATTAAAACAATTACTTTTTCAATTAAACACAAATGAATTGGAAAAAAAAAACGAGTTGTAAAAATTTCCTGAATTGTAGTGGACTACGTATTGTCGGTCTATAGTTGTTACTCTAGACGTTCTATGTTTTTTCTTTTTTTTTTTTCATTTTAAAAATTATTTTTTAATACAAAATAAGAATAGTACGTTTACAGAAATCATTAGTTTTAACAGGAAAAGATATATTTGCCTGCTATATGTAAACATAATTGTTTATTTCTCTTATGACTTATTCACATATTTAATTCTTAAAATACTCCTATTTCGATACTAAAATTAAATTCTCTTACTGTTAAAGCAATTTTCTGACGCATCGCTTAACACAGCATAACGCAAGTGCGTTAGAAAACTATAAATATTCTTTAAAATTCATAACGGATTAAGCCGTTCAGTGTTAAAAATAATCGGTCTTAAAAATCTTATGTTTGCACTTCCTCTATTGCTTTTTGTTCTTTGTTATGAGACCGATACAATGGAATAAAGAACAAGCAATTTTCTATTCTTATCTGTACGATCGAATGCTGCTATTCATACAAAAAAGTTGATGAACTCTTCTGGCCAGAAAGATTTGACGATCCATCATTGATTCATGGATCGATGCTCATGAATAGCCATTGCCATCTTACGATATTAAATCTATTCTTTTACAAATTTATTTTGGAGATGCAAACGATATAAAGAAAACACTTATCTACAACAAAATTTATTCTGTTGATGAAAATGATAAGTAAAAAAGCACTCATCTTTACGCAATATTCGCTTCTTTAATTTGGATGTTCTCTTTGGTCTAAGTGTGCTACAGGCTTCATGCACTCGTTTTAAAAATCTACATCTTAATAAATCTTAGGTTATTTATTTAATTCGCAAAAGAATAGTTTTCTTTGTTATTTTATACTAAATTTGGTTGTCCGTTATTACAGTCACTGAACCGGTAAGTAACAGCTAGAGATAATTTCAATTGATAAAATATTTAACATTTAAACTTAGTAATGAATGAATATGGAATTTTATTTATTTGCTTTATGCTTTTCAATGAAATCACATAATAATAAAAAAGAAAAGCGAACTTTTTTAATGCAGAGTGTTGTGATTTCATATGAATTTAGGTCGTGTTTAATTTGACTGTACACTAATCAAGCATTAGTGAGCTAAATACTAAAATGTCCAAATGATACTCAGTGATATTTCTACCAATAACGGGCACGAGCAATACGTTCTTAAAAATTAAAAAAATAATTAAAATAATCAAATTTAAAGTTACGTTTTTATTAGTGTATTTGAAATTAACAAGAACTTTTTATTATTCAAATGTTTATTTTTACTTATTTATTTATTCATTTTTAAATATTTGATGATAAAATTTTTCAAGTCAAAATGTATATTTAAAATCTTGGGAATCGGATATATTTTATCTAAGACTACTGAAATTTTGATAT